GAGAGAGAGAGAGACCTTTGGCATCAATGTTGTAGCCCACCTCAACTCACTCCACTGTGTTGACACTGAAATCGATCTCAGTACTGTTGGACACTCCTAGAAAGAAAAAGAAACCATCAGTTTCTCACAAGACCAAACACTCTCAAGTTTTTTTATCCACGGATAAACCAGCTCCGCCTTCTCCTCCTATGGAAGAGCCTCGACAGGACACCATGTGTCTTGATTTAAGAAGGTGCGGCTTTATGATCTTCCAACATACTATGAGCCTGAAGTCTATTATGACCAGAGACAGTACGAACCAGACCCTCGGTATCGTAGACACTGTTATGCCTATGCCTATCGTTTGGACTCTTCTTCCATATCACCATCTCCTTCTCGATACCAAGCACCTCCTGAGGTTCTTCCATACCAATCTTCAGAAGATGAATGGCATACTCTTCCACCACCCCCGGGACCCCTTCCACCCGACCCAGACACTTACCAATTGATGGCAAAACAACCACGCCATGCGTTTTCAGTACTGAGCTGACCATCTTGGACCCAAGCAACTTTATCTCAAGTCCAGTCATCTACCTTAAAGGTCACCATAACATATCGAGGACCATCTCCAGAGTCTCTTGATACTGATGCCAACCAGACACCCCTATACAAGTCCAATAAAGCAAAAGGTAAATGTCAACCATTACCACCTGAGGAACCTTCCGATTGTCCATTGGTATTGCAAGGCGAGATCTTTCTCTGTCTCCAGACCAACTCCATGTCCGTTTCAATACCGACACCAATTATCCTGATGTTGAAACCAGGGGATATTCTTCACCCAATATTCCCAAACCAGACTCTGACATCGTGAAAGACCACCCTCCCTCTCCTTTGGAGGACTTCATATCATACACCCAACTGATTCTCCATATCACTTAGGTAATGGACCTCACTGTTGACCAATCAGCACTGGAGGAGTGCAATAAGGTCTACAAATATATTACTGAAGACCAGACCCCACCACTTCACCTAGCCTTCATCACATCCCTCCTCAAACTTACTAAAGAATCATGGAATAAACCATCCTATATTCCTAAGATTCCCAGGAGGGTTGAAACTTCTACAAAACCCATGGTGCCACTACCACCTCTTTCTAAACATCTTCTTCCTAACTCATTTATTGTGGATGCTACCCAAAATAGAGTTCGAAATTGCTGTGCCTCCACCCCCAACAATCGCGAAGTGAGGAAGTTGGATGTCATAGGCCATCAGGTTTATTCTCTTGCCTCCTTCATCCTTTGTGTAGCTAATTATACAGCTGCGATGGGAGCCTACCATTGCCATCTTTGTAACAAAGCACTACTCATTCTTCAGACGGCTTTGGATTATTTATATTTTCATTACCTCTCCTTTCATCAGGAGGCAATGGCCCTTACTCACCAAGAGAGAATTGCAGCACACCATGTGGTGGATGCCACTTCCAAACAAATGGCCACAGCTATAGCATTAGGTCGTCACACATGGCTAAAATCTGCTGGTATATCCAATGATGCATGGTCCAGAATTGAAGACCTAACCTTTGATGGCCTTGGTCTTTTTGATAAAAAGACTGATTGCATTCTAGACAGCCTTCAAAGGTCATACAATACTCTAGTACAACACTATTGGCCATGGAAGTTTTAGCATTGCCCCTATACTTACCAACAGCATGTGATCTCCCATGGAGACAAGACTTCACCTCATTTAAAGCTTCTTGCAGTCATCAAAGCTTTCCGTGTAATTTGAAATCCTCCTCACAGAGCATGGAGTTAAGTAGCTAAGGACAACACTATGGTTCTGTTTTACATCAACAAACAAGGAGCACACTCCCTTTCTCTCCTCTATCTGACAGTGCAACTGTGGGAGTAGTGCTGCGCCTGCCACATTTTTCCAAATGCAGTCCACATTTGTAGAGGACAATGCCCTTGGAGACTGCCTCAGCAGACTCCATACATGCAGTCATGAGTGGTCTCTGGACGATGACGTGTTTCACCTTCTGTATTGTTGTTGGGGCATCCTGCAGGTGGATGTGTTCGCCTCCCTTACCAATGCGAAATGCTTCCACTACTGCTCCAGAGCAGGAATAGGGCTACAGTCCATGGGCAACAACGCCTTCATGGCCACCTGGAACCCGAGTCTCCTGTATCTCTTTCCTCCCATTCTGCTCCTCCAGTGCACTATTATCAAACTGAGGCAAAACAACTCCAATGCCATCCTGACTGCCCCATGGTGGCCCCAGCAACCATAGTTCACAGCCCTCCAATCTATGGCTGTTTCTTCCGCGTTCCACAGCTGCAAAACCTGCTGACCCTCAACCAGAGCAAGACTTTCCACCCAGACCTCCACACTTGACATCTCACCGCCTGGAGGATATTCCCACAGTAGCACAGGTTTTGGACTACACGTGTAAACCTTCTACAACATCTTTATATACTTACAAGTGGAACATCTCAAAATTTGCATCATCGCATAACTTACATGTCACTTCAATAACACTGGATACTGTTCTGGAATCTCTTCACCTTTTTCAGCACGGTCTCTCACACTCTACTTTGAAAGTTTATATTGTAGCAATAGTCTCTCATAAACTTCAACATGCTGACTCCACATCATTGTTCAGGAACCCCACTCTCAAACAATTTCTACGTGACCTATGGAATATTCGTCCTCCATGCAAAACATCCATTCTTAAATTGTCACTCTAGCTCATCCTTAATCAGCTCATGCAACCACAATTTGAGCAACTGGTGACACCAGAAAGACTCTTAACTTTGAAAACTCTTTTCTTGTTGCTATCACTTCAGCACATAGGCAAGTGAGCTCTCTGCCCTTCTTGCCAACCCACCTTTTCTGCAGTTCCATCCGGACAAGGTCACGCGTTACCCTAATCTGACGTTCCTTCTAAAGGTGGTGCCTGGCTTCCATTTGTGACAACCCATCATTCTCCCTACGTTCTTCTCTTCATCTACTAACGACCTAGAGCAGCAGTCCCCAAACTTTTTAGCCATGCGAACTGACTAGAGAAGGCGGGGCACCCCCTGCACTTGTGCGCATGCACCTTTGTGGGGTGTGCTTGTACGGGTGTGCGCACACTCATGCACATGCACAAAGGGCGGTGCAGCGCTCGTGTGGGCACGCTTGTGCTCACGCGCAGGCACAAACGGGCTGTACAGGGCGAGTGCATGAAGGGGTGGGCAGAGGTCTGTCTCTGTGGCCCTGCTCAGGCCACGGACCAGCATCGGGTCGCAGACCAGGGGTTGGGGACCTCTGACGTAGAGCACTCCCTGCATTCCTTGGATGTTAGGTGTGCCTTGGTGTTTTATGGCTTTCATTTTGCTTCCTTTGGAAAGTCCAAGAGGTTCTCCAGTCACCTCTCAAACTATTTTCAAATGGATTGTATCCAGAATTCGTCTGGCATATGACCCCTGCCATGCCCAGTCCGAGCACACTTTACAAGAGCCATAGCAATATCCATGGCATTCCTTCAGAGTTGACTTGGCTGAAGTTTGTAAAGCAGTGAGTTGGGCTACGCCCTCCACTTTTGCTGCCCACTATTGACTAGATGTCTGAGTCAAGGGTGATGCTGCATTCGGTCACACTATCCTTGGTTCTGCTGTTTCACGACATCCCACCTCCTGGCTAAATCACCCATTTTTGTGCATTACCTGTTACTCTGGTTCTTTGAGTAGTCATTTGTGAATTCACACTTCCAGCCCACCCTCCCCTGATGCCAGAAAAAAACCCAAGGCATTGTTACATGTTTTTCTGAAAAACAAAACAAGTTCTTCAATTTTGGTAGTGCTAGTGGTATCATTTGTTTTCTAAAGAACAGTGATGCAATGTTAGGCAATCTCCTTCAGGAGATGGAGTCAACTGTTCACTTAATGTAAATTTTCTAGGTCCTTCTCACATCTAGTGTGTATCTTGAACAAATGAAAACTGAGAGAACTTAACGTCACTAGTCCCGTCCTTTCTCCGCAGTGAAAGTTTCAACCCATTTCTGGATGACTCCAAGATTGACTGTCCTAATGGCTATAGCAGTTGTGTTTGCAGTGGTTTGTCAGATATCTCAAAAATATTTACTTTAAAACCTAAATCCAAAAAGCCATTCAGTGTACTGTATAATGTGTGAAAGTTTAGATTTTTTAATGTGCAGGTAACAACAGCTGATAATAGCTACCAGGCTGTTGTCATAACCTCTGTAATAGCAAATCAAGCATCTTGCTCCACCACAATGCAGTATTTCATATGGGTGGTCAAGGCTGAGGCTTATGATCCAAACAGGTACTTCCCCAGCCCAAAGTGAAAGATGTGCCAACTGTCTGTCTTGCTATAACTGATTCTTTAATGAGTGTTGCAGATGAATAGTGTACTGTGTTGCTTCTAGACGTAAGTCTTTGTTTCTTTAACAATAAAGACAGCATTTTAAATGCAACACAATGTCTTTATAATGTAGAAATTGCATGAGTCTAAAACTCACAAACTTTTTTTTCCAAAGATGAGCCTCAACTCAAGACAGGAGGAAGCAGTCTTGCTACTTTATGAATGTCCCTTATACAGAACACCTGAAAGATCTGGAATGTTGTCATCTACAGGTATATCAACTAATTTTATAACAGCAGTTTACCTACCAAGCTTGATAGCTCCCTGTCATTGGATAACAAGAGGAGTTGCACTGTTGTGTCAATTAGAAGACTAAGAATCTCCAGGGGCAGTTATAGGAAAAACTCTGTGGAATACTTTCCTAACACTTAAACGTATCTCAGATACAACTCAGAATCTGACATCTTGATGTTCAGGAATAAATGTTATCTTCTCTAAATATGTGTGTACATGGCTGCACTGTGCTTCATGCTTTATCTTGCTTCATTATTCAGAGTGGCCTTTGACCGGATGGGCAGTATAAAAATGAAACAAATTATCTTTATAAAAACCATAATTACTGATTAACTAAAATGACCATGCATGCATGGTAAACTAGCATCTTTGTCAAATCCTTCAAGACAATTTAATCTTCCTTTTTTACTATTATCACTTCTAACACTGGCATGCCCGAGACCTCTGGAAGCTGACAAGCAGGAAGCTGAACTGATGACCATCTCTTCCACTGTGTTCTATTCATACCAACAATGAAACTTGTACAATCCTTTATATCCTTATCCTGAACTGCTTGTTATAAAGGAAGTTACAACAATTCATGGTTACAGAACCACCCGTCATCTCCTCTTCCTCTCTCAATCTTGAGGGCAATAGCCCTTATAAATTCTATACACTGAGAGCACAGCAGAGATTCTAGGAACCAACATTCTTGAAGCAATCTAGCTGAAGGACCGTCTATTTTTTTAAAAAAAAATTTCGTTTATTTTATTTTTGCTTTGCTACCTTTCCTCCATGGGTCCTGCAAAAATATCAGCTGCTTATTAGACAGCACTGGATAAGATCCTTATTTCTCAAACTGATCAACTTCATAATACAAGAAGCTAAGATTAGCAAAATAAATTGAATCAGGATTTGGCTTCAAGAAAGATAAAAATGAAATTAACTTACGTAACTTATTGCTCATTTATCATTTATATGGCAAGCACTTCTTAAAGGTGCACTGCTACTTGGTAGCTGTTCGTAGATTTTTACCCTGCAAGAATAACTGGGATCTTACTGCCTTCATTCAATGGTACTCATGGCATGCAACACTAATAAATGAGCAGGTGTCCACAAAATCATTTTTGGGCAAAGTTTTAATTATACAAGTTACATTTTATAAAATTCAAGAATACATTGTAGATGTGTAAAAAAAGTAATAAACAGGACAAAATGCAGTTTATATTAGTCAGGAACTACACTCCTGCGGAAACATGCTTATGTAAAAAAAGATTATTCATTGTCCTTTAGAAGGTTTCTTAGAACCATATGAAAATAGTGGTATGTCTAAAATAGTTATGTAGCGGAACATTCTCTTTGTATAACTATTTACACAGATACAGATACTTTGAAACACTGTTTAGAATTTTTAAAGCTTAGATGTTCCAAATATTTTGGGTTACAACTCTTGTGAATCCCAGCCAGTGTAGCCAATGACCAGGAATGATACAGGCTGAAATCCAAGACATCTGGAAGGTCCCATGAAGAGAAATGCATAATACAGCTATGGAAGTTGTCATGATCATTTTTTTAGCTGTTATGCAACACAGAAAAACATCTACAATCTTAGTAAACAGACTGGCTCATATAAAAATATAGGGCACAATACATATCACTAAAGGGCATAAGAATCCTTCCACCTATCTCTACTCATGTGCACATTACTCATGTTCTTTAACTTAGCAATGACCAGTTTCAATAGGAACGCAGGGACTACCCTTACATCCAACATGTCCCCTCATACTAAGAGAAGATGTGGACAACAGCAGGGCTATGCTCTAAGGTGACTTCTCCTCACAAGTGTGTTCCACAGTGCTGTAGAAATATTTTAAACTATTTTTAAAACAAATATTTAAAACCCAAAGTTAATCAAGTCCTATGCTACAAATCCATAAATGCAAAACACAGATACTAAAAAATGGGCATGCTCACATTAAAATGGGCATGCTTATTAAATGGGGAATTCTTTCCTCAGCTATAAATTGTGAAAATTCAACCTCTGAAACAATTATTTTAATGTATCTGTCCTCAGATTTCATATACTAAAATGACAATTGTTGCACTTTTAATCACAATTAGAAAAATATTCTAATCAAGTTCAAAGGTGTTAAAGTTATGAGTCTCTTAGAATTCCACAGTTATTGTGAGAAGCTATGAAAAATTAAATATACAAAAATACATTAGCTCCGAAATGGTTGATATTAATCACAAGTTCACATTAAAAAGCTGATTTAAATAGCATTTTCAAATATTAGAATTTTCCCTATTTGCCACAATATAAAAAAGGCAAAATAACCTACACTGAGGTAGCAATGCCAATTTACATAACTTTGAATAAATGTCTTATTTTCATAATGCATTTGTTGTTACAATATTTAAATGAGCACTTCAACCGATGAAGTCAATGTCATAGCAATACGTTACTTTACAAAAAATTTCAAAAATACTAGAAATCGTTTAGTAAATTTTTTTTAAAAAAAATTATCCAGCCCTAGGAAAAAACCCCATTGCATCTTACACTCAAACACTGTACAACAAAATTTGTCAAATGTTATAATATAAAGAAAAGCTATAGTACAAAGCAATTATTCATAACAGCTGAAGAAAGCTAATGGGACCTGTTAAAAAAAACAGTTCGTACATATGCTACATCTTGCAGTACTCTCTCATCACTGGAAGAAACATTGTTTCTCAGTTACTTGCATTTCTTGAGGTCTAAAATATTGAATCAATTGGTTTAAGAGCATTCTAAAAGATCCCACTTATACTAGTGAAGTACTGATTATAGCACTATGCACGGTAAACAGATACCATTAGCTAGAACTCCAGTAGGTACATGACAACTATTGTTCCCTGTATGGGATCCTGTTTCCCATTTTAGGGGGTAAAGAAGTAACACCTATTTGCTGGCTTCCCTGGAAGTTCTGTTAACTGTGAAATCAGCCTTAGGGAACCAGCTACAGGAGACAGACCTGAGTGAGAACAACCCTAATTAGGGAGTTGTACCATGATGGAAGTCCTTCTCCGCTGGAGCTTACCTTATTTATTTATTTATTTATTTATTGTGGGTTTTTCGGGTTCTTTGGCCATGTTCTGAAGGTTGTTCTTCCTGACGTTTTGCCAGTCTCTGTGGCCAGCATCTTCAAAGGACTGGAGTAGGAACTCTGTCCATGCTCTGTTGCTGTTTGTTGGATGGTTGAGTATTTATAGCTGTGCAAACAGCTTTTGTCTTTTTTCAGGAGATGGGGTGATCAGCAGGTTTTTGTTGTGATAAGGAGGGGGAGAGATGATCTGTCACTGTGATTGATGGGTGTCGTTAGCTGGTCTTTTTTGTGCAATGATCCCTGGCCCTTGTGGCTGGGTAGAGTTCGTTGACCTTTTGCAGGCTGTATTTTTCAGAATTGGGAGCTGGGCCATGTTTAGTTTTAGGCCTTCTTCCTTTTTGTTGAAGTAGCTGAACATGCCCTGAAACAAGCTGGACGTGAAATTCTATTTCAAAATACTGAAGTACTGGACAACACCAGCAATCTGTATGTTAGACTGCACAGGGAAGCCATTGAAATCCATAATCAGAACTTCAACAAAAAGGAAGAAGGCCTAAAACTAAACACTGCCTGGCTCCCAATTCTGAAAAATACAGCCTGTAAAAGATCAACGAACTCTACCGGCCAGTGACTGGCAAAATGTCAGGAAGAACAACCTTCAGAACACGGCCAAAGAACCTGAAAACCCCACAACAACCATCAGATCCTGGCCATGAAAGCCTTCGAGAATATTTGTTTGTTTGTATGTTTGCATTTTAACAAAAGGCCATGGCAAAAAAATTCTGGAAAAGGTTAAATTTTAACACATGCAATAAAATTATGCTATAAGCAAATATCAAGCATTAAAACCCATGACTGCTTTTCTTTCCAGAATAAGACACGAAATGTGTCAGTCAGACAACCAGTTTGTGAAGTATACAATTTGCTTAAATAAGGTTTTCACAGACTACACAATGGATTTGTTGTTTCTTAACAGAATTGTGTAGCTTAAAATGAGCAAGTGGCTAAAAAGACAGAAAATGCTGCATCAATTACATAGTAAAATACCTGCTAGTTTATCATCTGATCACCTGTTTAAGAATCCAGCAGAATTAACATAATATACCAAGTGCAATGGTATGAGGTATGTTGTTTACAAAACAATGATTTAGCTGCAGAAGCTGCATTATCCACCAGTTTGAAAAGGTTCAGTAGATGTATGGGAATATGCGATATGGTACACGATTACAGTATTTTTCCCATGCTAAGCCATATTTTTTCTTACACTGACGTTCATCACGGGCTTCTCGGTGAATAAGCAGACCAGTAAAATATATGACGTAGAAGTAAGGTAAAATATGATTCACCCCTGTAGGAAGATATAAAAAGGTTATTGGGTTTTTTCACCCTGTCTTGAAGAAATCACAATTAACTTTCTTTCTTTCAAAAAATTATAATTGTCTACATAAAAGATACTTTTAGCATTAGGCTAAATTACAGATTGGAAATTTTATATAAAGTACATTAGTACCTCGGTTTATGAATGCCTCGGTTAACATAATTTTCAGTTTACAAACGAAAATCCATTGAAAATAATGCCTTGATTTATGATTTTTTTGGCAACACAAAGGATGCATCCCCAGGATGCACAGTGCCTGGAGGTTTATAGCGATGCCCTTGTTCCTATGGCAAATCACATTTCCGTTTACGAATTTTTCACATTATGCAACATCCCAGAGAATGCACTAAATTCGTAAACTGAGGTACTACTGTATGAGTTAATTATTAGGTATTTGAATTTCAAAGGTAATATCCTATATCACTGGGAATTTATCCAGTAGCGATTTCCTCATCTTTCTTATAATTGCTGTTTTTATATAACAAAAAAATGAATAGAGATGACTGATGCTCTCAAATACTGGGCGAAAAAAAGAGCCTGAACTGTATTGTGTTTTCTTTCAACCATTTTCTTAGAATATGTTCTATAAAAATGAATGGCCGAAAGACCACTGCAACTTACACTTATGTAAGGGAAATTGCTACGTTTGGTTAGAAAATTACCTCTCATTAACCAGAATGCTATTTGTGTTCCTGGACATGCACCCAGGAATGAAAGCAACAGCTTAGCCAGAATCCTACTGAAGACTGCATATGGTTTGTATAACTTGTTGTGGCTAAGGTGTTGCAAGTGCTATCTAATAATAAACCATTGATCAATCAAAAAGTATTGGTGTGCATTTCTACTGTCTGACTGGTCACATGAAGACTGTGCAACTGAGGTGCAACCCAGCACACCTTATCAACTGGCTACAATTGGATACTTCAAGTTAAGAAAACCTTACACAAATACCAATAGGATTCCACCCTACCCTTCTGATTTCTGTTTGGAGCCTGCATTTTGGAACTCACTTTTAGGAAACAGACCTGGTAAAGATGTCTACCATGACTTTTAAATGTTCATGTTTTTTCTGCACTATTCCCAATACAGAGGTGCCCAGCCTCATTAAGACTTGCATGGGTTGAAAGTTAGCCTTAGCTTTTTTTTTCTTTTTCTTTTTTAAAGTAGTGGCATAAGAAATCTGCCCTTGCTTTTGTCGTGTGTAATGAGTACCTGGCTTTGTTTGTTTTTTCAATAGAATTCAAGTCAACAGGCCACCAAAACTTATGTAAGTGTAAATCTCCACAAGGATTCTGGTCATTTTCTTCTTTTCTATACATTACTACATCTAATAGTCTTAATTAGAAGGTACCTAATATATTGTTCAGTAACTGTTACTACACTGCCAGGATTAGCAAATGGCCAACAAAAGGCAGGAAAGTACAAGATGTTACTAAAAGACAGTTTATGACCTTACCACAAGGTAGGGACCAAGCCAGGGCCATGATAATATCACCTAAATAGTTGGGATGTCGCACTAGGCCCCACCAGCCAGAGGCCAAGAGATTTTTTCCTGTTGCCGTAGGAATAACTTTCAAATCTGTATTTTGATAAATAAAAATATGTATTATATTACCAAGCAGAACACACAATTTGTGTAATATTAATATTTTAAAAAAACAAATACTTGTTTGCCTAAAGAACACTTACAAGCAAATTTGGGATCATTTGGATTTCTCCGGAATGAGTTTTTCTGTGAATTTGCACCACGGAAAATGTAATAACCAAGAACTGTATGAAAAGAAAGAATACCGGCTACATACTTGAACATATAAATAATACATACACATTTTATTACCTTCTGTGTTTCACATTAGTAATAATAACATAAACGTTATTTTTATACATGCGTTTTTTGTTTCTATAATAACAAACTGATGGAATTGCATAGTATGAAATTCGGTAGTCAATATGCCACTGTTTTGATGGCAGAAAGTGAGGAGGAATTAAAGAACCTCTTAATTAGGGTGAAAGAGGAGAGCACAAAAATGGTCTGAAGTTCAACATAAAAAAACTAAGATCATGGCCACTGGTCCCATCACCTCCTGGCAAATAGAAGGGGAAGATATGGAAGCAGTGACAGATTTTACTTTCTTGGGCTCCATGATCACTGCAGATGGTGACACAAAATTAAAAGATGCCTGCTTCTTGGGAGGAAAGCAATGACAAACCTAGACAGAGAATATCATGTGAGAGAGTTGGCGCCATTATCCATAACGACTTGGAAATGAGAAAGCTGGCAGCAAAGTGGATCCCCAAACTTTTGACAACCAAACAAAAGAGGAAACGTGCAAAGTCATCAGTGGCTGTTTTGGAACATTTTGCAAGAAATGAGTCAGATTTCCTGGGCAAACTGGTAACTGGTAATGAGACATGGATCTACTATTATGATCCTGAGACCAATCCAAGGAATGAAGACACAGTGGTTACCCCAGGCCAAAGAAGTTCCGAGTGCAAAGGTCAGTGCAGAAGCAAATGGCAACAGTTTTTTGGGATAAGAAGGGAGTTCTGCCTGTGGACTACCTCCAGCAGGGTTCAATGCAAAATATTACTGTGCTTTATTGATGAAGTTGAGGCAAATTCAAGGAAAAACTTTGAGAAAAGCTCTCTAAAGGTGTCATTCTGTTGCATGATACCTCGTCACACACTGCAGGTGAAATAATGGCAAATCTGACGTCCTTAGGCTGTCAAGTGATGCCCCATCCACCCTATTCTCCCGACCTGACTCCTTCTGACTATTATCTGTTCCCCAAACTCAAAAAATACCTAAAGGGACAATGATTTGAGAGTGTTCTTGAGGCAGCTAATGCTGCAAACGAGTGGTTACACCAGCAGTCGAAAGAATTTTATTTGCAGGGACTTAAGCTGCAGGACAGATGTCGCAAGTGCATTGACTCACCTCCCTTTATTACCATCTCCACACAAGAATTGGAGGTTACTGATGACAACACATTCCATATGCGTTTTCTCTGACGCATTTTTGGTATCACTTGGCAGGACAAAGTTCCAAATAGAGGAGTCCTAGAATGAGCTGGAATTTTTAGCATGTATACATTACTGAAACAGCAACGTCTACGTTCACTAGGGGATGTCGTGACAATGGCTGATGGTCAGATCCCAAAATATCTCCTGTATAGAAAATTAGTGCAGGGAAATCGCCACAGAGGGAGACCACAGCTGTGCTACAAAAATATCTGCAAGCGGGATCTGAAGGCCTTAGGAATGGACCTCAACAGATGGGAAACCTTGACACCCAAGCATTCAGCCTGGAGGCAGGCGGTGCAGCATGGCCTCTCCCATTTTGAAGAGACACTTGTCAAGCAGGCCGCGGCCAAGAGGCAGTCCCAAACCCAGCAAAATCAGGGAGCTGAACACGGGACAGATAGTCTTCAGTGTGGAAGGGATTGTCACTCTCGAATTGACCTTCTCAGCCACACTAGATGCTGTTCCAAGTCCTCCATACAGATCACGTTACCATAGTCTCTCAAGACTGAAGGATGCCTAATCTAAATCTAATATAAGACTGGATTAGACTAAGAGGTGGTGGTTGCTGAACTTCCAACTGCAAGTATTTGGCCATTCTGAAGATTAAGTCGGAGTATTACTTAAACTTCTAAGGAGGGGAGACAGGGTACACTAGGGTAGTAGGTCCTTATCATGCTTACTGCCATTGATAGAGGCAAAGATGGAACAGTAAGTCTATGTTTGCCTTTGAAGCCCATTTTCATTGTTTCCTTTGTGTGAGGACATAATGTCTTGGAATGGATGGATGGCTCTGTGGTGTTTTAGATTTACCCAATTGCAACTTCAAATGTTGTCTGTGGAGCTTTCAGTTCCAATCTGTCCCTGCTGTCGGTGTTCTTGAAATTGAGAAAACTCTTGGCTTACAGCTTGAAACCAGTGTAGGTTTGTGGCTCAGAAGCAGTGTTGGTCATTGTAAACTTGAGGCTGAGGAGATGGAAGTAATATCTGATCCTGAGGAACTGGAATCAGAGATCTGAAAACCTATGGCTCCAGTTATTTGGAGAAGACCTGCTGCAATTAGCGGGCACCGAAACCCTTGAAACTGGCCTGGAGTGAGTCAAGGGCAGTCAGTATCGTGGTGGAAATGATGGACTTCCTTAGGTCCACATGATTCCAGAGGCAGAGGCTGATGTTTGCACTTCAATTTGGATGATGAAGCCAGAGTCCAATGTTTATATTTTATAACAGTAATAATTTAAAAAAGGATCATCTTAGAATTGCAGAGCTGAAAGGTAACCTGTGCATCAAGTCCAAACCCTGTTAAGGAAGCACAATGAGGAAGTGAACTCCTATACTCTGGCTCTGCAGCCAGATACTTAAACCACTAAGCTATTCAGCAATTTTGGCTTGGGAGACCTTGAAACTCAGCAAAAAGAAGGGCAATCACCATAAGATGACTAAGAAAGTATCCTCAACTCTGGAGATCTTGAAACTGATGCCCTATAAGACCACTTTGATCTTGGTGGTGTGCAACTTGGCTTGGATTACCTTGATTCAAAGTTCAATGGCCATGAGGCCAATAGCTGAAAGAAGTTGGAATCAGTGAGTAGACAGTCAAGCCACAGAGTAAGAAATATACATTTATCCCTTGCAAGTCCTGATAATTGTAAAAGGGTTGAAATAGTTATATCCTGTACAGCAGTGGTCCCCAACCTTTTTCGGAGCATGGACTGGTTGGGGGGTGGGGGCACCCCCGCACTCACGGGTGGGCGTGTCACGCTTGCAGAGGGGTATGTTGATCTCGTACGCATGCGCGCAAGGGTGATATGCCCCTCGCACTCATGCGTGACATGCCCACCTCGGGCGAGCCCAGCCTTGAGCAGGGGAGGTGGCTTTGCCATGGCGGCCCACTCAAACCTGGAGGACCTCAAGCTGACGGGTGGAGTGCCTGAGCCAGGCCTTCCGGGATGAGGGCTTCCGTGCCCTCTTCGCTGAGTACACCGTCAAACTGGTGGTCCTGGAGCGCCAGCGGGGCACCAGGGCCCACTTCCTCCTCCCGGCTCCTGGCTGGGCGGGTGGCCAGCCCGTTGCAGGAGTCACCGTAGAGGTTCGGCCGGCGTTCTGGCTTGGTTGCTTATCCTCCCCTGACCCGGGGTTGCCAGGGAGATGGCAGCTGCATCTTCCTCTTCACGTCGGCAGCAGCAGCTCCACCACCTGCTGGCGCTGCCTCTGGCTGAAGTCCCCTCGCCAGCAGGCCTCCCCGTCTCCTCCCCTCCTCATGTGCAGAAGCCGGGTTGATCCTGGTCCCTCCACCCCCTTGGGGTTGCGCTGCGGTTGCTCAAGGGCTCCAATGGGGCAGCCCAGGAAGAAAAAGGGGGGAGGGGAGGGGAGGCAGGCAAAGCTGCAGCAGGGTGGGGTGTGTGGAGAAGGTTGGAAGAAAAGAGCTGCTCCATGTTTTCCTAAGCGCCTTGCATATCATTTGTTATGCTGGCAGGGATGATGGGAACTGGAATTCATCATCATCTGGAAGACTACAAGTTCCCAACCTTGATCTAGTTCAGTACCTATTCTGCTCTACTGTCAAAGAAATATCTATTGGCCTTCAACCAAAATCTGTTTTCCTACATTTTCTAGCCCCTGTTTAATAACACTAAAGAATTTATTTCATTTTAACAATCTTTCATTAATCACTTACGATTCAGAGCCACAATTCCAGAAGCTGTAAGCCATGAAATTTCATTTGGATGATTCACTAAATAGAAAGCTTGTAGACTGTAAAGAAACGGAACCCACACCAAATCTCCAAATGCTAACATAAATCCAAACCCATCATGAGTGATGTCCATAGATGTCAAAATAGCTTCCTGAAAAGTTAAAGAATAGTTATTAAATTAGATTTGAACTGTAACTTTAAAAATGTCTAGAATATTTTGTTTTTATTTATCAGTGTTTTGGATATGCTAAAGACACACCAGGCTATATGTAAGAACCAATCTTTTACACAGAAGTTATACCTGTTCTCTTTTGTATATGTACCAAACTGTATTGTCAATTTGGAGGGACCAGGACTCAATTTCCATAGATAACTTCTGTTGTTCGAAAACTACTTTGGGATATGAGACATTTGCTAGAATTCCTATTACTTATGGTTGCAAACATTAATTCAATCAGCATCAATCTCAAGGGAATGAAGGCATTTGCTGTTGCCTACTAATTAATTTTTAATTAAAAATTTATTGAAAAATCACTGTGTTGTCCAAAATACACAGAATGCAATTTTCTGCTGAATATGCTACAAATTGAGTTCCAGAGATACATAGCCAAAGTGACTAACCACAGCTGAAAGAACTAACCACAAAACAGGGCAGTCCATTTCCTCATTCCATGCATTTCTGAAGCCTTGCATCTCATACTTACTGGCAGAAATCCTGTTCTGCAGTTTTGCCTAACTTTTGGAAGTGAACTGCTGTAAGTTAAGAAATTTCCATAGACACTGCCCATTGTACAATGAGTTGCACAACTTGGCAAACAAAAGATAATGTCTGTAGAGATTTCTTAACTGTTAATTTATTCACTTCCAAAAACTACACCTTTTGCATAGCAGGATTTCAGCCTGTACATACTTATTTACGAACACTATTTATAAACAAAAACCTGTTCTCTTTTTTTATGTTAATCTTACTACTTAATATGCTTTTCAAAAAGCACAGGAGGTGTCAAGGCACTCAGGCTGCACTGCCATACTCAGATTATCAATAAACACTGTAAATGTGGATCACTACTCAGTGGGGGCAGTCTAAGCCTCAGTCTAAAAAAAAAGGGACAGAAAATCATTCTGATGATCAATCAATGGATCCAAAGTAAATGTCCTCTTATCAGTACATACCTTTCAAAAAAGATTTTGTTAACTGCCACATAAGGTTCTTAACACAGAACAATGCATGAAATTGAGAGCTGTGACATTATATGCCAAAGTTCTCTAACTGCAAAAAATCTGTGGGCACTAAAACTTGCTCTGACATACTTAGATCCCATCACTGTCTACTTAGAAAGGGGGATAACACAGAAGGATCTCAAAACATCTCAAGTTAAAGAAAGGAACTCACAAAAGAAACACATCAATGAAGAAACTAAATATAAACTAAAATAAAAGATAATCAAATGCTCATGTCTACATGCAATAAATATTTGTGCCATCTTCCTTTAACAGTGATTTGCTTGGCACTAATGGGGAGTGGTACATAAATTGAAAGAACAAATGAACAAACTATATATAGATAGATAAATGTGCTATCAGGTCCTCAATCCACTAACAAGTAGGCATTTATTTTTCCAACGTTGCACTATGAGTCATGATTAACTGCCATCATAAAGGGTCAGCATTTCAAATCCTGTTGGCCAATGGTTATATTACAAGCTTCCTGAAAAATCATACTAGGGTTTATTTTCAGGTCAGGTCTTATTTTCGGGGAAACATGGTATTATTTAAAAGAATATATACACCTACAAAGTTGAAAGATTGCTCTAAATAATTATTAGGGGTAGAAATCTCCTTCCCTAAAGAAGTTCCTTCCTTTTTTGTTCTTATTTCTAGTTTTTTCTTTATAGGATATAAGCATAATAAAAATTAATTTTATTTATTTTTGTTGGAACACAGAAGTGTATATCAAAAAAGAGGAGAGGGGTATTGTTATTTTTTAAAAAACGGGAGAATACACCTTGCTTTAGATGAGAATTATGCCCTCTGAAGCATGAGATATCCCATTTGGACTACAAATTCCAGAATTCTTCATTCTGAGAAGCTCATGTGACAGATACCTACAGGTTCATCTAGAAAAAAAGGCTTATACTAGAAGGCTTCATGATCTAGCTCTACTTAGCTTCCTGATTGAAAAGAAAGCTCCTATATAAAGTTCCCAACAAGCACTGTGGTAGCTTCCTTTTTGAACAAGAAACTAGGTGAAGCTCCCATATGAGCCACATCTCTGTGTCTGCATGTTATCTGTCTGCCAGATAGGACTCCTAAGCTGGTGAATTCTGGAATTTCTGCTCCAAAAACAAAAATAAAACCAATGGTGTGGCAATCTGCTTTCAGTACTTTGTAAAGCAGATGGAGGCAAAGGGAAGCTCTTAGAACAGTCCTGGGAGCCACCTTTGCTTTAAGATATAAGTCATTAATAAACTCCCCAAAAACCACAAATCCTGAATAGACACTTTTTTTTTAGATCGAGGACAGTATTTTTCACCAAGGAGTTTTTCAATCTGTCTGTGAGCAACTTATTTTAGTAAAATTGAAAATCTCTCCCACCAGTTGAACAAAGGGGGGCAGAGTTTACACAACCATTCATTAGTCTGAATGATGGACTGGCCCATGATGATTTTCAAGACGAATTAGCCAGTGTTAAGTTAATCTTCCTACCTCCCTCTCTCCCCCCCCTTTCAGCTTAACAAGGGACTCATCCTCCCCCACCCCCACAAAAACAAACTAGACACACATACAGTGGTGCCTCGGAAGACAAATGCCTTGCAAGACAAAAAAGTCACAAGATAAATGGTTTTGGCAATGGGGTTGATGACTCGCAAGACAAATGTTCCTATGGCCCTGCTTCATAAGACTAATGTTTTCTATTTTTTCCCTGCCTCATGTTTGCTGATTTTTAAATGTTTTTCTATGATATTTAAAAATGTTTTTTGATTGAAATTTTTGAAATCATCTGCACAATATGTATGGCTTTAAAGAGCACTTAATAAACCCTTTGCAAACCAAATCTGACTTTGTTCTGACTTTTTTTGACCATAGGAACTCATTAATTAGATTTCAATGCATTCCTATGGGAAAATGCGTTTCGCAAGATTAATTTTTCGCAAGGCAACATTAACCACGGAACAAATTTAATTCGTACTGTGAGGCACCACTGTAATCACAATAAATCAGTGTTTGGAAACATTCCAAATGGCAAATGTGCAAACAAATAAATCACTCTATGCTACTTTTTCAACAATTAGAATATTGTATTAAAAATATTATGAAATACTGTATGTATTACCTCATTCCACAGAGCATCAACTACATAAAGGAGCTGAAAACTGTTAACCAGGATCATTGACAAAGATGGCATGTTCAGATGTTGTACTTTCATCTCAGTCAAAAGCATTGCCAGGTTGATAACAGCCTTTAAAAAAAATAGATTTGATATTAATGTATATTTTTATTCTTTATTCTTATTATTTTATAGTGATACACAAAGATATATGAATGCCATACAATCATAATTTTAAATTATTCATTTATTTAATTCTACTCTACTCTATTTTGTCATAAAACAAAATTCAGGGTACATAATATTAAAATGGAGAAACAAAAAATGGAGAAATACAGTCGTATTTGCTGATTCACGAATGCTTTAATAAAGAAGGTCTAAGACAGGTACCACAACACTAATAAAGTTGGCACCAAACACAGACTTTGGCTATTTCTGAGTAAAGGTAAGATTTTTGCCTTGTGTCATTACTCCTCCCCATACGTTCATTACCAGTGGGATTAAGACAAGCCTCGACTCTAGTTCTAAGTGCATGGACAGGCTGATATAAAAAGGTATTTTCCTTTAGACACACAGAGTCCAGTTCACTTAAGGCTCTGAAAGTCAACACTAGCATCATGAATCTGGCTCAGAAACAAGTAGGCAACCAATGCAATTCTTTCAGAATGGGTATTAAATTATCTCTCACAAGACAATCTGTACCCTTGCAGCCATATTTGCATCCATTTCAATTTCAGATAATTTTCAAAGACAGTCCCACATAAAGTGTATTACAATCATTCAAATTAGATTATGTGATCACAGCATGGATCACAACAGCTCAACTATCTCTGTCCAGGAAGAGCTACAACTACCGTATTTTTCGCACCATAAGACGCACTTTCCCCCCACAAAACAGAGGGGTGGAAAGTCTGTGCGTCTTATGGAGCGAAGAAAACAGATTATATTTTCCTGTTTTCTTCTCCTAAAAATTGGTACGTCTTATGGAAAGGTGCGTCTTATGGAGCGAAAAATACAGTAGTTTACAAGTAACAGCCTTCCAGACCACTGAAAATATCTGTAGCTGCAACAGCTAAATTCAAGCTACAACCTGCCTCCAGACTACGCCACCAATCTTTCAGAGCAAATGCAACCAATCCAGAACATGCCATCTACTGAAGAAATAGACGTGAGAACCTCTCACACTGAAGCTGAAATCCTTTTGCTTGCCATAGCAAAATACACTAGACTAGGCTGACTGAATCAGTGAGGATTTGGTCAGTCAACACTCCATATATTCCACTGATTCAAATGTGCCTCCTCTAGTTGGTAAGCAAGAGGATTTCAGCCAAAGAACCCCTGTATTCTATTTATTTATTTATTTATTTATTTATTTACTTACTTACTTACTTACTTACTTACTTACTTACTTACTTACTTACTTACTTACTTACTTACTTACTTACATTTAATTTATACCCGCCCATCTAGACCAAAGTCTACTCTGGGCATCTGTAGGAACAGCATATCCACAAGATAAATATCGTTTTACTTATCTATGGTTGGATTTAAAAATTATGTAATTATAGATCTGGCCACTGGAACTAGAGACAATGCATAGCATTTGCTTTTATCTACTGTTTTCAGCATCTGTGGGGTGGGGGCTTAGAACCAATCCCCGCAGATACTGTGGTCGTACAGCAGTATCTGTGAGGACTGGTTCTGAGGATGATCAGGGCGCTGGAAGCCAAGCTTTATGAGGAAAGACTGAGATAATTGGGCACGTTTAGCCTTGAGAAAAGAAGACTGAGGGAAGATATGATTGCACTTTTCAAATACAGTGGTGCCTCACACAACGATGTTAATTGGTTCAAAAAAAATCAACGTTGTGAAACATCGTTTTGTGAAACACCATTTCCCATAGGAATGCATTGAAAACCGGTTAATCCGTTCCAATTGGAACGGATTGCCATCGCTGAGTGAAAATCCCCATAGGAAACATCGCTGTGTGAAACAATGTTTCCTCCATTGGAATGTATTGAAGCCGACTCAATACATTTCAATGGTTTTGCGAAGTCCTTTTTCGCTCCTGTAAAAGTGTCTTACAATGTTTGGAAGCCATTTTAAATGGTTGCAATGGTTAGCCCACCTCCTGAAACCTATGCAAACTGATTTTGGTGTTGTTCTGACACTTCATTAATTTATGGTAATTTTTTGTTTCCCCCCCTCATAGAACTCCATCATTTCAATGAGGGGGAAAAATAAAAAATTACCATAAATTAACGAAGTGTCAGAACAACACCAAAATCAGTTTGCATAGGTTTCAGGAGGTGGGCTAACCATTGCAACCATTTAAAATGGCTTCCAAACATTGTAAGACACTTTTACAGGAACGGAAAAGAGACATCGTTGTGTGAAAATCCCCCATAGGAAACATCGCTGTGTGAGGCGGCAAATTTAACAGAAAAAGGCATCGTTGTGTGAATTAATCGTTGTGTGAGGTACCCATTGTGCGAGGCACCACTGTACTCGAAAGGCTGCCATACAGAGGAGGGGCAGGATCTCTTCTCAATTATCCCTGAATCCAGGCCACACAACAATGGGCTCAAGTTACAGAAAGCCAGACTTGGTTGAATATCAAAAAAAACCTCGTAACTGTTAGAGCAATACAGCAATGGAACCAATTACCTCAAGAGGTGGTGAGTGCTCCAACACTGGAAGCATTCAAGAGCAATTTAGACAACCACTAAGCAGGGGGCTGGATCCAATGGCCCTTTCAAACATCATGATTCTATGATTAAGTCTAAGCTCACTGGCCCTCATCCAACTGGCTCAAGCACCTGCATAAGTTTGTCTGACTCAGGATAACAAGCAGAAACAGAGTGGGATGTCAAATGAGCCTTCCATATGAGCCTACCCGGCAGTTAAGATCTAGCCAGGGGGCCCTTTTGAAAGAGCCGTCCCCTAAGGAGATTGGAGGGGGGGCTTGTAGACAAAGGGCCTTTTCGGCAGCTGCCCCCAGACTATGGAATGCCCTCCCGACTGAGATTCGTCTGGCGCCGACACTGATGACATTTCGGCGCCAGGTCAAAACCTTCCTGTTCCAGAAGGCTTTTAACTGAAATAATATTAGCTGTGGGTCTGATGGCAATTTTATATATATTTTAATTGTATTTTAATTGTACATATCTTTATTGTATTTTAAATGCTGCAAGCCGCCCAGAGACCTTTGGGTAGTGTGGGCGGCATATAAATTAAATAAATAAAATAATAAATAAATAAATAAATACCTCATTCAAAACCCAAGATTCTTACCCAGCAGCTTCATGCACATTCACAAAGAAAATGGAGGACAGAATAGAACTCTATAGCAAAACAACTGCCACATGGGTCAAGTAGTACTTTCTGGAAACAATAGTTCAGGAATTAACTGAGTCAGTGTTTCATCACATTCCTGACCTGCAACTCACAGAGTTGGTCCAGTCAGATACTATGGTAGGATTACAAAAAGGCCCCAAGAATTTTAAGGGAAATGAATAGGAAGCTACTTTCCTTGCCTGTTGATGATATACACAAGGACTACTAATAAGCCAAACTTGAAGTCAGATTTAACTGAGTCAAGATAATCCTCCTAGAGCTACTCGGCCATCACCTTCTTGAGAACCTTAGACTCCAGGATCCAACAACTTGTTTCAGAGTTGACATATCTCCTTTTTCAAGTCTGCAG